GTAGAAAAATTGATTAGTTATATTGAGTTGGAGAATAATCATATTGTAAGATTCAAGTTTTTCCATTGCTGAAGTAGGTTTATAGAAAGAACAAGATATTTATAATGTTTGAATGATATTGTAAATATTGCTAATAATAGTGACATAAGATAATTTGTATTTTTTCCAGTAATTGGGAGATAATAAGAGCAAGAATTTGTTAGATATTTTTGTGTATTTATAGAAGATAGTTATTTGCTTTGTTTTGTTAGTAAGAAGAATAAGTATTAAAGAGAAACAAACAGATAGAAGAGAAAGAAAAGAGAAATTAGTTGTATAGAATTTATTGTGTTGGAAAAAATTTCATGTGATTGTTATTAAATTGGAAGAGTATTTAGATATTAAAAGTATTTCAGAATTTTAGTCCAAGGAGAATTGAATTGTTTTAAGAATTTTTTGTGATAATAAGGTTAAGTGTTTTTGAATAAAAGATTCTCGAATATCAAATGAAATGTGAATTAGTAAAGGAGTTGGTGGTTTGCTTTGAAAATTAAATATGGGTGTATTAATGAGATCTAATTGAGTTATATAATATAAATTTTTAAATATCCATGGTTATATATATATATATATATATTATTGCAAAAAAATATTAAATATGAAACTTTTATTAAACAAATTATTTATAGTTATGATATTAAAGATCTTTTATATTACTTTTTGCAGGAGCTAATCCTAGCCTATCACATATACAAACCTTTAATTTGCAAGAATGTTTAATAGGTAGAAATAAACTATTCATGATTTATAAGTAACTAATGTCTATTAATAAACAGATAAGTTAAGTTAGATAATAATATATTTTTTTATATTATAGTGAATTTTCAGGAAATTAATCTTGATTTGATAAGTTTTTGATATGTCTTTATATAGTGTTATTGTTGTTATCATTTCTAACAGATTAATACTGATTTAATTCTTGTTGGATTAGAGTATCTAAGTTTGATTAGCTATTGAGATTGTATAGATTGTTTGAAGAGGTTGAGTCTATTTTGGTTTTTAAGTTTTGGAAAATTTTTAATGTTATTGAAGTGGCATAGTGAAGTCTATTATATAGAAATTATTTGAAAGGATTAAATTAAGACAAGTAGAAGAACCTATAACTTTACTTGAATGTGATTTTAGAAAGAAGTTGATAATATTGAGAATGGTAAGGAGAATGATTATTATGATAATAATAAATAAGAAGATATATAGTAAAGACAAAATTAAGAAGAAGAATTGCTATAAATCTTTCTTCATATAACTAAAGAATAAACAAGACTTTTGAACTTGTTTGACTTTTAGTCAGAAGTTTCATTTCAATGTAACAGAAGTCCTTAAAGTCTTTATATCCTTGAGCTTAAAGTATAGTTGACATATTAAAGAGAGAGAGGAAAAACTTTTTTCAAGAAAATTTTCATAAAAGAAAATTTTCAAGAAATTAGTAATGAACAGGTGAAAGTTTTTTTTTTAATAGTTTTATATTTTTTACTTTTATTTCTTTAATTATTACCATAAGATTATAAAAGTATTAAAATAATTAAAATAAAACATTAGCATTATTATTATTATTAAAAAAGTTTTTTTTATAGATAAATATTATTTTTTATTTAATTTATATATAACAAAGTATATATATATACAGTATATCTTGAAAAAAAAATATCATTTCTCATATATAAAAGTATAACAAATTAAATATTAGCTTGCTTATAATAACTATTTAATTAATATTGAAAAGAAATTTTAAAATAATATATTTTATCAAGTTAATTCAAGCAGCTATAATTACTTGCTCAATATTGAATAAAAAAAATTGAGATAATTAGATATTAATTTAGTAATACATTTGAAAAAGTTATATTCATTTTGGATATATAAGTCTGTAACCATGATAATTATTATTGTTAATTGATAAAATATTAATATGATATTTATTATTAATTTATTTTAATTTATTTTTATAAATAATTTAATGTTATATTGATTTTATTATTATTTGTATTTATTTGTTTTATTATATATATTATATACTGTATATATAATTTTTAAGAATTAGTTGATTATATACAGTATGTACATTATATTATATTATACATTTTAATTTTATTTGTTTATATTAAAAAATTATTTATAAAAAGATTTTTTTTTTAAAAAAAATAACAGTAATATTTAATTTTCTCTAATCTAATAAACTTTTTTTATTAATAATAAATAATACCTTGTTTATAATATTTCTTTAATATCAAATGTTGTATCACACATGTTAAATAAAACTTTTTATTTATAGCAAATTTTAAATTATAATTAAAAATTATTGTATTTTTTAAATTTTTAAACCAAGTATAAGCTGATTATATTATTTTTAAATATTTATAAATTTAACAGAACCTATTTGCTTAAAACATATAATAACTTATTGATTCGATTATTTAATAATATGTAATGATTAATTAAAATTGTATTTGATAATGATAATAAACAAGTTAATAATTATTTTATAATTGCATAAATTAAAAAATAATAATTAAGTATTTTTATGAACTTTGTTTCTATTTTATAATTGCTTGCATTTGATGAAATATCATGTACAATATATATCAAACTTTCTTCTAGTTATGAATAATATTAAAAATATTTGAGTATTTCGATATAGAAATATTTCAAATATGCATATAAACTGGTTTTTATTATTCACTTTTTGTATGATGGTTAATTCGCTTATCATTAAATCAATTTTTAAATATTGATAAAAATACAATATACTTTACGATTTTTCTTTTTTTTTTGAAATTAGAAGCATAACAATAAATTATAAATATTTCATATAAAATTACTTGATACATAATCTATTCAACAACTTATTTATAAAATATTTATTAAATCAAATTATCAATAGCTTATATAACAAGGTTATTATAATTATATTATAAGTTTTTTTAAATAAATTAAATTAATTTGTAAAAAGACGTTTTAGAAAGTTATAATGTTTACAAAGGAAAACAAAATAAAGTATACTTTTTACGAATAGCATTAATGAATGATACAATTGATTTAATTTGGTTTAGTTTTTTAAAAAGTTAATACTGTAATTAAGAGTTTGTACAAAGCACTTGGAATCGATCAATGTACAGTACATGTAAATCATTTGACAATTGCGGTTACGATACGTATCTTAAAAAATAAATAAAAAACAAACAATAACTTGAAGGTTTCATTTTAAAAATTTTAAAAATCTCAATTGTAACCCTTTAAGCGCGAAATACAGGAATTACGTGGATTATAATTGAATGATTATTTAGTAGTACCGCAATTCAAAGATAGAACGTGGTACACTATTTCTGTTAGGCTATATCATTATAAACCTTCTACTTATGGAGACCATACCTGTTTCCTTTTAAACCAACCCATTTGTACAGTTCAAGATATAAGATTATCTGAAGGTATTCTCAAATTATCGGCCAATATTTTAGTATATTTCTATGGATTTTTCTTTTAAGACTGTAAAGATGCTTTCTTTGTTAGTAATTTTGTTAACTTATTATTTAAACGTTGTAAATTCCTTAACAACAGCTCAACGTTATGGCCGTTATGCACATGCATCAGCACTTGTGGGCAGCAAATTATATTTTATGTGTGGATTAGCATTTGGAAATTTGTCAAGGGATTTCTTTTATCTCGATTTATCAGAACCATTTAAGGATGTTTTACCGTCTTTTTTTGATATACCATCTAATTTACCTGTAATCGATGCATGGTTAACAGCAAGCACAGGTGGTTCAGATAACTCGACAATAATTATATTTGGTGGTTTGTTATACTACGCAATAAATGGAACGGCTGATAACAGTGAATTGGTTTTCACATTTTCTGCTCCTAATGGTCCATGGAAAGCCCCATTTATTAATGGTACACCACCAATTACAACTCCACAAGCAGGAATTAAATCTGTCATAGATAAGCATGGAAAAATGTATCTATTTGGTGGAGATAGTGGTCAGGGAAAAATAACAAATAGCAATCTTTATATATTAGACACAATTAATCTAGTGTGGTCAAACGGCGGTAATGCAAACACATCGTTCAGAAGAACACACGCTACTGGCGTTCTACTAAATAGTGGCGAGATTTTGTATATTGGGGGATATGCAGATAATTTTACATTGGTCGACATCAATGTAGTAAGTAAAATTCCGATAAACTAACTAAAGTAAAAGAATATATTGCATGAATAAAAAGTAAAAAAATTTCTTCACCGTAGATTCTGATATATGACACAAACTCTTCTAAATGGACAACAACTGTAAGTATAAATTAAATTTTACATCACATATATCCGGTATACAGTATACAAGTGTTTCCTTTAAAGAAGTGAAATTTCTTTAGACCGTAGGTGGGCCTGCAATTGATACGCGCTTTTATCACACAGCTGTTCTGGGTAAATTTATTTTTTTGATCATATTATATAATAAATAAACAAACAATATTTATTTAACGCAATCGAATACACGAAAAAGCTCCAGATAATAAGATTATTATATACGGAGGCGCATATTCCGAGGCGGGTAGAATGTCACAGCCAACCATGGTTTTACTAGATGCGAGCACCAAACCATATTCATGGATAATTCCAAATATAACGACCGTTAATCCACCTCCAGCGCTTATGCAACATACAGCCAATCTATTCGGAGATTATATGATAATTGCCTTTGGTAATTATAAAATGAGTTTTTCTAACGTACACGAAAGCCTAATATCAATTATGATAATTTCTTTAGGAGCAACAAGCATGTTTCAATCCATATCCAACGAAATTTATTTATTTGACATTCGTACATACACATGGACAACTTCATTCGGCTTCCCCACTAACACCAAAAGCGGAATTATTCCTTCAAAAACCGATGATATTATTACCACTATAACAAATTCTTATTCTACTTTAGATTCAAAAGGCAATACGAGTTTGATAGTTATGAGTGTAAGCATAACTGTAGGTGTTATAATTCTTATTGTTGCGGTTGGATTTTTTGCTTATCATTATCATAGGAAAAGGAAGGTTTTGCAAGGCGTTATTGGTACAGAATAGTAAAAATCTACAGTAATGGTGAAAATTTTATTCTAAATAAATGTATATCCAGTAAAAATTTGTTTGACATATGCTTAAGTATTTAGGAATTTTTAATAAATATTCAATAAGGGTGTGAATATGAAACATGATCGAAGTTGATTCAAACAATGGTATTTAATTAAATGAAAATGAAAAATTAATGAATAAAAAACACGCACCTATAAAAAAACAAATATTGTCCGAAAATCATAATCAGTGACTCTATAGAAAACATTATGGTATTTGTTTAAATAGCGCGAGCATGTAATACGCAACCTTCATTAATTACAGTATTTAATTCTGTGGTAAATGTTAGGATTCAAGTGTAACTAATGATGAAATATACATTACATACTTACATGTTGAATATAGTAAGGAAAAAAGAGTTAAGGTCAAAAGAATAAATATGCATATATGAAATTTGAACATTATCTAGATATCCGTTGTCAAAATAGAATCGAAATTAAGAAGATTGTCATAAGGCTTTTAAACATAAAAATGCCAATAGAGATACGAATGAAGTATCATGACGCTATAAAGTCTTATGAAAGTTTATACAATAAACATCATCCATCTGCCCAAAAGTTTAGTGTCGAGGTGATGAGAATCTTATTATAATTAACTCAACAAAATATTTTAAAAGATAAAATATAACATGTAAAGAGCAATTTATTTAAGTGAATATATTTCCATCAACTGCTAAAAAAATATTTCTTAATTTGTTTATATATATTCGTGGGTGTCAACAAATAAAGTTTCCAAAAATATTACAACCTTTCCTGGAGAACCTAATTTCACAAATTGGGAAAACACAATAAAACCATACAGTATAATAGATAGCTCTTTATAAACTATACTACAGTATTGCCTAATAGAAAAATAAAACAGTGAAAATGAAAACAACAAATACAATAAATGATCATAAATAGTACTGCATTGCTGTGGAATATATTAAGAGAATACAAATCCTTAATAAGATCTCGGAAATGTTTTAGTTAATCAAAATTCCTAAGCCACAAGTTCGTCTCGTATGGTTTGGTAATCGCAAGCTATAAAAAAAATTTTTTTAATCAAACGTAAATAATGTCAATTATCAAATGATAGATTAAAAATATCATTCAATGAATATTTACCTTCTAGGCTTAAACTTTCTGTTTTTTTAATACAAATAATTGATATATTAGTATATCAGCTAATGTTATCAAGAAGCTCTTCAAATAAAATTTTGTACCGCGTATAATAAAGAATTGACTTGGACATGCTTCATTCGAACGTCATCATCACCAGATAATTCATGATCCAACGATTCGATGATTTCTTTCTGCATCAATTAATTCTTTATCCATATGTCATTTGTCAAATTGTACCTTTGTTTCTTTAATATCCAGTCTTTCGGATAAATTCGCTTTTCAGCATTTTTCCATTAAATCAAAAATACTTTAGGTCTTGTTCCTGCAATAGTGTTATGTATTAATTTATCATCACGTTGATTTATAATAATTCCAAGAATATATACATCAGAGACTTGAGTATATAAAGACCCGTTAAAATTTCTGACATGTAATTTTATATACATTATGATATTTAGAATTATAGCTAACTTCTCGACATAATCCCAAATCTCTGATTTTAACCAATTCTTGATCTTCACATAATCCTATTGTTGTCGTCACCGGCGAGTCTGTCGCTAAAACGGTTCACTCTTCGCGTGACGATAATCCGAACGCTTGGATTTCGGCACTAAATAAGGTAAGGCTTTATCCCTGAGGCAGATTACGATTTGACCGACTTTCGTGCACATGCTAATCACTTCTTGACCCTCTTTCCCTCTAGGCGTGTCTCAAGATTACAAGCGTCACTTTCTACACGGAACAAAAGGTAACGTCGCGTCCCTATCTTAAAGTCGTAAAATAATTATATCTGGTTGTATTGCTAATGATCTATAGGAATCAGAAAATGATTCTAAATATTTACCCAACATTCTGTAAATATCTTCTCGTACACGTAAAACAAAATAATATCTGATTCTATTTTCTATGATCTATCGAGATCCGAAAGTGGATCATTATATTTACACAACTTTCTGTAGGTTTCTCCGCGCGCGCGCAATGTAAAAAAATTATCTGTTAATAATTTATTATAAAAAAAAAAAAAAAGAAAGAAAATTATTCTTGTTATTTTTTTGCTTAATCATTTAAATATAAAAATTTTTAATTAATAAAAAATAAGAGGAAGAATATTTATACTTTCTATATTTGTCATTTGTATCCCTAATCAATAAATTATGATGTAAATAAATATTTTATAACTTCATTTGATGGTCTTATTTGATTATAGAAAACGATGTATTAGATATTAATTGTCAAATCGATTATATTATAAAAAGATATAAGGAGTGAATTATTTTCCCAAAATATTTTAAATACTTTAGGAAACTTTAATAGTCTTATTAATAAAAAAAATTATTAATTCCTTGGTTATATTATTATTGTAACAATATAAACAAAATTATATTAATTAAAAGAAAATATAATTACATACATAAAAGAAATATAAGTAAATAATAGGAATAACATAACAAGTTTATTTTATTTTTATTTTTTTAAAATAAATAAATATACAATACAATAATATGAATTTTTATTAATACTTGATATTTAAATTAATATCAAGTATTTTTATAAATAAGGTTATTTAATATATAATAATTTAATTTAATATATAATAATTTA